CCCCAAAACCCCAAAACCCCAAAACCCCAAAACCCCATAAATTAAGACTTGGGTTGATGAAAATTATATTAATCTATTTTGAAGTTAACTACTTTGTTCCCAAGAGCATCACTGAAGAGCTTCATGTCGATTGCATCACTTGCAAATGCTTCGGAAACTTTTGTGTTGTTCACAAATTCTTCATTGTTGATCATTTGAATACAACCATGCTCTCTGAAAAGATTAATTATCGTCTTTGCGAATAGAATAGTTCCTTCATTAGGCTCTTCAAGAGAAGTTCCTCTGACTCATTTCTCAAGGATATCTGCAATTGATTCTACTGAGACTAAGCCTAGCATTGTTGGGTCAAAGAATTTAGACCAAAATCTGATGAGTTCACTTTTGGTGATATTTCCAAGCTCTCATATTCAATATAGTTCTACAAATTGCTCCCATTTAATGTAACTGTTCTTGCTCTCAGTGTCTATTCCTAAAGCTTTGAAGAGCCTTGTCTTGACTTCAGGATGTGTACCATAAAGGAAAGTGCAGTTATCAGAGAAATAGTCAAGCCTGATCCCATCTACTTTCTCTTGAGAATTTTCAGGAGCCGAGCTCTGATTTGCAGTAGTATCATTCTGAGTCTTATTTAGGTCTTTCTTATACTTCTCAGGATTTCTGTATCTCTTTAAGGCCTCAAAGTACTCCTCGTTTATGGTATTTCCCTCGTTACAAATGTGGTCTAGAGGAATAGTCATAGCTTTGAACTGAGAATGAATCTCAAAGACTTCTCTCCTTGTGAGACCGTAATTCTCACAGACATTTTTGATCATCTCCAAGGAAGTCGTATTGTTTATATTATCTTTGCTTGTGTTATTCTTGGTGTAACTTTTAGTCTTGTTTACTAAGGATTCTCCATTTCTATTCTGGCTCTTCCTTGTGATATCCAGTTGTTTTAGCTTGGATGCGGTTGTCTTAAAGCTTTCCATCTTGAAATCATCCCTTTTTATAGCATCTGTTAGTAAGGAATCATCGAATAATGGTTTTTCAGCCTCTTTACTCTCATCTGTAGCTTTGCCTTTTAGTGATATAAATCTAGGTTTCCTTGCAACGATAGTCTTGCCAGGGAGTTTTACACCGTTACCTACAATAGACATAAGATTTTTCATTCGAGTCAGTTGGTTTTAAAGAATCATAGAATTGTCTCTCAGATCTAGCCTTTTGCTGCTTCTTGATGGTCTGTTCTATTACTCTCTCTAAGATGTCATCATCTGTCATTGATTCTTGTAGCGAGAATGTGTTTTCTTCTATAGATGGCTCTCTGGCTTCTATGATAAGGAGTTTTAAAATCAAATAAACCGTTGAGAATCTTACTATTTTGAGTAATTCTTGTAACTTTGTTTCCAATCTTAATGTCTCTAAATTTACTGTCAAGAGGGATTAAGTTCTTCCTAAGCCATTCAACACAAGCGTGTCTAATTGTGGACTGGACTTCTTTGTCCTTTTTATCATTTTCTGTAGAGATTGAATTCTTTTTGTCATCAAAATCTGCCTTGGTTCTCTATAAAGCTCATTTTCGCAATGCCGAGGGAAAGATACGAATGATCTACTAACTAAATTGACTGAAATTGTCTCGAGAGGCTCTCTTAAAGTAAGTAGGCTAATTCTAGAGCGAATCTGAAAGTGGTTTTTACCTCAAAAGCTCCAGTTGCTTTTATCTGTTTGAGGTTGTACTTATTCTTGGCAGCTATTAGCACCTTTGTTGCTTTGGAGATATCGAATATGCTATCGATCCTTTCACCACAGGTGTTATACAAAAAGTTGTATCCAATTTCTTCACCTTCATTGGCTTTTGGTACCTTTATGAATGATTTTTCCTAAGGAATTAAGCTGAGAAATTACATAATTTTCTATCTGTTCTAGTAGAAGTCTTAAGAACTGGTTTTGCATGTCAATACTTGGCTTAGTGACCTCAAGTTTTTCGTAAACACCCATTCTTTGGTACTTTACGTTATACAAGAGGGAAGGGTCTTCTTCAGGAGTGTTGTGGGTGTAACTAAACACGTAATTCACGTAATCTGTCAAATTGATTCTGATAACCTTTAGGTCTTTGCAAGTGATATCACTACCTTCAGGGATGATATACATAAATCTGTCATCTGGTTTTGGATTGATGCTAGCTGGCTCTTTACTTCTGAATTGCACTTTGGATTTCTTAACAACTTTTTCTTTACTTTTGTTAAGAGTTGTATTTGCAACAGGATATCTTTCACTGCTCATAAGCCTAGTGTTCTGAATCAGGTAGTTTGTATGGCTACCTGGGAACTTGTTTTTAGGCCTTATAGGAGACATTGAGAGTAGCTTTGTTCCTTCTTGATGATTTCTTTGAATCCTGTTAGGTGTTTCAACCATACTTGCGAATTTATTCCCATGGATATTCGGGAGCATTTTACTATCGCTAGTTGATGGTTTATTTATAGAAGAATTCACAGTCATGTTATGTTTCATAATTGTATTATAACGTGTTGAAGTATGAACTGACTTCCGTTGAAACATTTTCTCAGCAGAACTGTGCAATAGGGAAGGTTTTACTGTTCTATTTGAGTACATGTTGGACAAAAATGGCCTCTTTGTGAGTTTTATGTCTGCATCCCCAACACAGATATCAACCTTAGAAGCGTACTTATTCTGAGGGGTCTTCGCCTGTAAAACAGATAAATCACTAGTGCTTTGTTGATAATATGACATATCGGCTCTGGTCTCGCTTAAACTATTAGCGTAACCATCTCCTTTGGGATACATTGCTCTGGTCATTTTGTTAAGATTGTTCTGCAAATTTTTGTACAAAATTTGGTTATGATAGGTTGGCTCTCCGCCTGTGATATTGGTCACAAGGTATTTATCATGAATGTTATCAATAAAGTCATTACTATATTGTAACCTATTTCGTTGCATCATAATTTTGGGTTAATGGGGTATCTTGACCCCTCACCAGGACATTATTCGTATAGAACTCTTTTCTCTTCTGGAGGACCTTTTTAAAGTTAAAGTTGTCATGCCTATTGTTGAGTACTTCGAAAGTGTTTTCACGATACATCAATTTTATTTCAATAAAAATAATATATTTCAATATTTAAACTAAACAAGGGGTTTTGGGGTTTTGGGGTTTTGGGGTTTTGGGG